GAAAAACGGGGGTTCAGCGCGTCACCACTTTCGATTGCTCGAACAGAGCGGATGATGTTCGATCGTCGCGAGAATAGTTTTCCCTTTTTTACCTTGTTTTCCCCTTTTTTTTTCGTTGCCGTTGTTTTGTCAACCTCGGTACATAACCAGCGATCGTGCAACTCGTGTCCGTCAGAGACTGATTTCACAGTCATCGACGGCAGATTTAAATTTGAAATCAGCAGCGGACACAAGGAAAATAGCGTATTGGCGTTATCGCCACGTAACGAGGCGTATGCGAAATCGAGGTGACCGCGAAGTACAATCCGACGTTCGGCGACGAGATGAAAATAACCGTGAGCTGCGTGTAATAATGTGCGCAGCGGAATTACGCTCACTCGCGAAGTGGATATTTTAGTGGCGGTGCTTCAATAACGCACGGGCCGCGGTTGATAAGTACGTGAGTGCACGTCAATATCGTACCTATCCCGGACATGTTGCGAACGTCAAGTATGCCGTTTTAATTCCAGGTTCCATTTTTCTCATATGAGCATGGTAAACATTTTTCTTCAGTTTGCGAATTAGAAAGACATATTTGGGATCCTCACCATTGATCGATTAAAATTTTGATGGATTAAAATTAATCAAAATTAATTAATCGTTATGTATATAAGCACGCGAATAATTTCATCGATCGATGAAATTAATTAATAATCAAAACTTTGACTTGATTGATTATTAATACTTAATTTCATCGATTGATTAAATTATTCGTGATTATACGCTGAGAGAACAAAATATCTAATAAATAAGAAATATTTATTCGGTGGGTATTAATAACACATATTTACATTTAACTCGAAATTATTTCACTTAAATAGAATAAATAATTTTTTTTTTTATGAAAAACTGAAGTTTTAAGAAAATGTACGTTCTCTTATATTTGAACAATACTTTATATTAATGTAAGTAAATCTATTATTATATTATCCACCACAAATAAATATTTCTTATTTTTCAGTTATTTTTCCTCTCGACGCACGTGCATGACGCTTTATTAATTCTGATTATTGATTCGCTTGTTATTGTAGTCAACTGAAATTTTAATCAATTAATGCCCTCACACGGCAGTATACGCGACGCGCTCTTCTAACGCAAACTGTCGTCGTCCTCGTCCTCGTCGTCATCCTGGTCACCCTCGTCCTCGTTGTCCTCGCGTCACGGCCGGCTTGCCCCTATGTGGCTTCGCTCGCACGGTGATCTAATCGCGACCTGATCGAATGACCTTTCGTCAGTTGCGATGCAACGCGACCGGACCTTCCCTCTCATCCCGTGCAGGCGGACGTATCGGACGTTCGCGACGCGCGCGCGGATTCGAGAGAACGCGTGTGTGGCCTCTCCTGTACACGTGCCCGCCGCGCGCGTCTAGTGCTTATGGCGGGTTTATACGTACCCAACATGAACAGCCCATATGGGTCACTGCCAGTGACAGGGAAATACTGCTGCTGCTAACTACTGCCTTTTGCTCTAAGTTATAGCGGCGCGCGTATATGGATCCGATGCCGCGCTCGCTGGGCTTTCATTATTTTTCCCCTGTTCCCTCCTCGTTGCTTCGCCGACCGTTCGTGCCTTTGCGACGACTGTCGAACGAGCGTCGTCTCGTATGCGCCGCAAAATCGTCTCGAAATCGCCGCGAAGTGACCCCGTTCGATCGCGCGAAGAAACTTCACGTGACGAGATTCGCGAGAGACTAGGTGAAACACTCAATTATATTGGCGTCTCCCTCTTACTCGCTGATACTCTGGAAAACCCTGGATCTTCTTGCGACCAGCAGTTAATGCAGTTAAACTTCTTGTCTGCATCCTGATAATTCTAAAAGAGATCTTCACAACTGTGTGAACAGATGTTGTGTGAAGAGTTGATCACAAGAAAAACTAGGTTCCTCTTATGACTAAAGCTATCAGTAATTGGACGTTTCATACTCTAATTTTTTCTTGTTGCAGAAAGCAGCGTTTGATGACTTTCATCAAACGCTGCTTTCTCAGATTTATATAACGGAGAGTCCCAATTTAATTTTCACGGAATTAAATGTGAATATTCATCGCACTTTCAATCACCTGATCGCGATTGAAAATTAAAATTTCCAAACATGCCATTTCGCATTGAGAATCACTCTCTCGGGGAGAGTTTGAAACCTCTAAAGTCAACCAAGAGTAAATACACGTTTCAGCGTAAGTTGGCGATGATCATTTCCAATCGCTCGTCCATCCTCTCGTTTTTCTTTCTTTTATACCCTCTTTTTCATTATCCACTTTGATGAAATCGTCGGAATCGTATGCGTCGATTCAGTTTCGCCACTTGGCGTCGCCTAATCCACTTGACTAGAGGGTATCCTTTGAATTTAAACTCAGTCGCGAGTTTCGTAATGAGGAAAATATGACTAGATTTCTGTGTGCGCGCGCCAGAGTCACCTCTGCAAGCGTTCAAATTATCGTTATGTCGGGAACGTGACGTGAAAGAAGATCTACCTTCTACTCGATATATATACTTTGCGCTATCGTAATTACGCGAGTAATTCGCTCTCGCCGCCACAAGCGCCGTATTGCCCAATTAAGAGGGATAGACAATGTAATATTCATATTGGACGATAGCGCGGATTACATGACGCGATAAATTTTTCACATTTTCCAAATTGCTTCTCTCTCTTTCTCTCCCTCCCTCCCCCTTTACATCGACGAGATATTCTAGGAATTCGATTATTCAAATTTCAAGAACGGTTCGGCGTGTGTACTCAACGTTAACGCGATTCACGAACCGGCGGTGCAGTTTTATTCACGTGTGTACTTCAAACAAGAAATATTAAATTGGTGCAGTTACCACAGGATATCAATTTGCGTAAAGTAGGTCTGGCTGTTTGTCCTTTTTTGAAAATTGTCGATCCTTCGCGGCGATTTGTCCTTATTGCCGCGGTTCGTGACATCACCGACACATACGTCAGGGATTCCGTGAGTATTGGACGAGCGGGCGTTTCATTTCGCGACCATGCACGACGAGGCCACGTGCCCTCATCGTTGTAAGTCCCGTGTAACGCTCAACATTTTCGGCACGTGCCCCGAAACGACGAATTTCCCGTTAAATTTTCCCGTGTCTGAATGTCTGGAACTTGTGTGCGATATTCTTCAGCTCCCTCGTTTGAGATTCGTGGAGTGGGTCGCGAGGTAATTACGAAAAAAATTTTGAATCAAAGTTCACTCGCTTCTGAATCGAAGGCGAATTTGCCGAGAATATTCACGACCCTGCGTAATAATGCAATAAAGACGATATTTTATTCCTTACGATATTTTTGCAAACGGGACCGCCGCGCGAACAGGCTGCTCTCTTAATTTCACGGCGAATTTCTCTAGTGAGGAAAATGACACGACGAAAAAGCGGTACGAGTGACGAAACTGATGCAGCTGAGGAACCGATTTTGCATTTTGCAGAACGAAAAAGGGGTAAATCTCTGATCGCGTTAAAACTAAGTGGATTGGAAAGTATTGCGGGATACGGACGCGGAAATCTCTTGGATCGTGATGCTCTCGCCGGTGTCAATAACTAACGTACGGCTGTTCTCAGGGAGAGATCTATGTTTCTTATTCAAGAAATCACAGAACATACCGCGCTGCACTCGCGTGGATGTCGGAAGTAAGAAGCGAGCAGCGCGCACAGACCCTAATGAACAGATTACACGCAACGGAGAATTGCGAAACGTAACTCTCGTCCCGCCCGCTCGATCGCTCACTCACTCACTCGTAGGTACTCGCGCACGCCACGTAATAGGATCGCGGAATTAGAATTGATAAAATCCATTACGAATTAGCGCGGATCTGGGGCCTGTACGAGCGAGTCGAACATTCGTTCTTAAGAACGTATTAAATTGTCGGTGAAACCGCGCTTTCTCGCGACACGTGCCCGACATGCGAACTGAAGAATCTGAATGCCGACATTTTTATCATTAATTTGTCATTAAGTCTGGTAAATTTGTACGTATAATATGTATGTGTAATAACGCGTAAGTACGCGAGACACGTGCAAATACGCACTAGTAAATAATTGTCATCGATGCAATTTTCTCCGTTACGAAATCATCGTGTTCTCGTTATTTATAAAATACTTTTATTTATGAAATACTACAAATATATATGTATATATTTTACGAAACGTGGAATATTGAATTTTGTACTCGTCAATTAAGCGCGGATCACAGACAACGCAATTTATAGCTCGGGCACGACGTAATAACGCAAAATGCTCTTGCATCCTTTGCGCGCCCGCTGTAAGACGAAGCTTTCCGGCGAAATTAGCTAGTGACGTGTAAATAGTAATTGAAAAGCATGTTGCATGGTTGCGTAACCCGCAGTTATTCGATGAAATATTTTAGGTCTTCTGGTCAGAAGTTTCGTCCAATTTTAATAATATATTAGGAGCTTGCTAAAGTGCATCGGACCCTCGACAATTTCACTGGCTCAAAAGATGAGTCATTTTACTGACGCGGAATCGGACAATTACTTGATGAAATGTGGTAGAAAATGGTAGGTGACGGCGACAGAAGATGGATGAGGGCGGTCCTTCTTGATTGAACATGATATGTGCTGTGTTTCGTTATTTATTGCTAAAAACAATATGGCTAAAAATTTGACGAACTCTCGTGAGTTTCCAGCATATGCAATCCACACAACATAAATGATTCACAATATAAATTTTGGAAGAATTGTATGTGGATGTAAATATAAAATATTGCAGAAGAAGACAAAGCCGAATGCCGCAGGAATGCAATATCTCGTCGAAGTAGAGAAGAAACGCGCAGTCTCGCAGCGCTCATGACTCGATTGTTATACTCGACGACGAATATAGGTCGATCGCAATTTTTGTTGCGAGCTTAGTTTCTTTTTGGGTCAAAGGGCTTCGTTTCGTAGGCATATCGCGGTGGCGCCAGTGCACGGTCACTGCAAGCACGTGGTAGTTATAGAGGTCGCCTAGAGAATCGGGAGCTTTCAAACCCCGCAGCAGTCAGTCGGCAGCCGCCCGTGCTGTACCAACCGGGGGTGATATTTTCCGCTCTCGCAAAGTTCGTCTCTCCCGACACCATTGTAAAAAAAAGACTTGACACGGGCTCGTGACGTGTAGTAACCGGCAGATTTACAACGGTAAGTGACGAGAATGCTTAACGAGTGAGTTTTTATTGAAAGCGAATTTAACTCGTGGAAGTCGTGGAGAAAAAAGAAGAGAAAAAGATCGCGTATGTGAACACAAGTCAACGTGCCCCTTTTACCAAAAGCACGCATTTTATTTTCTTTTATTCCCTGGATATAGTAAATATTTAATAAACTTTTCAAAGATTTTTCTTTTTATAAAATGTTATCCTAGTGAGAAAAGAGAGAGAGAGAGAGGGGGAGGGAGAGAGAGATATGCGGAACAGAATTTATTACTGACAGTGCGGATTTTTACGGTAATCAACAATGCTCGTACGCTCACATGGGGATCAATAAAAACGTTGGCCGACGTTATGCAACGACTAATTACGGCTCTTTCGTTTCGTTCATGCGTGGCTTGTTACGCGCTGGTTAATTAGTTTGCTGAACGTCTGCGAAAAAAGGAAGAAAAAAGGGGAGAACGCACGAGACACATTGAGTCGCAACAATTGCGAAATATTTATCAGTCATATTTTTTAGCAAGAACATACACGAATCTTAAAGTTCCGGTTAAGTACATGGAAGATATGACTTTGAGATATGATTTTCTTTTAACATCACAAATCGTGTTCTTAATATCTCGTCCGAAAAATAATGCTCCTTTCTTTCTTTCTTTCTCTACGGTCGTTTAATATGCAGAATGCTAATTATATTTCTAACGAAAGCCTGTATTTAACGTCTTAAAACTTTTCTTTCTTTTTCCCTCTCTTTAATTCTGTTTTACATACGACTTCCTTCACGATTTCTGCGTAATATCGCTAAAATTATCGACGAATACAATGTGGCGCGCAGCTCGAGGCATAAAGTATGTTAAATACTTAATGCAGCACATAGTAGCGCGGTATCTAATACATACTTAAACCACGACGGACAGAAAGAAAGAGAGACAGAGAGAGATGGAAGGTAAGAGAGAGGCAGATGCACAAATACACACACACACACAATGGGAGAAATTTATATAAAATATAAAAGCTCAGAGATGCGCACACACACACACACATACAATCGTACGACGCCTAGGTAGACCTTTTTATGAAGAGCGCGCGTCATAAATCTGCGGGGAGAGGAATATATATTTAGAAATTTATTTAGTTCTCCACAGTCACTGCTGGCTTAAACCGCGCGACTGAATAAAATATAAAGATCCACCGTGCCATCACCGTGTATTTTGCTCGAGGCGCGCGCGCACGCGACGTCGCGTTGACTTCGCGCTTTTCCCAAAAATACTCTGCCCTTCCTGAATGATGCATATCTGCCGATAACGAACATTGCGCGGGTTTCCTTTAATCGATTTCACGTGTCACGTCCGAATAACGTGGATGATATGATCAGCGATCCGTCCCTCCTATCCGTCTTCCTATGTAAATGATTCGGTACAAGGGACGGAGGAGATCGGTCGAGCCGGCCGTCCAATTTCCATCATAAGTGCGCGCGTCTGTGAAAGGATCCATATTAAACGACAACCATGAGAACAACGGTGTGACGACAATTCAAATTCATCGATTCCACACGACTTCGACCTATGGACGATCCCGCTATAACGGCATGATTAAAATTCGACATATAGATCATCCCGTAGACGTATGGCACACTCATAAATTTAATGCCATTAAAATAAATCTATAGAAAATCGTGACATTCCGCGATGACTAAAACATCACAATACTAAATATAAAGACTGTCAGATGGCAATTAAATTTTCGGAGTTGATCGTATTAAATATTTTTTATGTGAAGAATACTATATATATACACAGGTTAAGTCACCCAGCCAAAATAAAAAAATACCAAAAAATAAGAGATATTTTAGAAGCTAACGTTAGGTCACTCACGCTGTGTATATATATATATATATATATATATATATATATATATATATATATTGTATTTTTATACGTTGATTTTTAAATCGACGATATGATTTTTGGGAATCATCGTTGTCGCGACGACGGACGTCTCGATGTTGCATCAATTCACGAATCAATCGATCGATCATATCGCGATATCTCTGACAATAACGGTATTTTGCATATTTCAGGCATTCTTGCTCCTCTTCGTCCGCCGGATGATCTCGGTTAGGGTATAGATTTTCAAATCGCTGCGAGAATGTCAGCATCTTCCAACTAATCTGCATTAATGCGCTTAGGAAAGCGAACTTCCCGCGGAAGTTAAGTTGACGTAGTCTCATCGTAAAGTTGCACTGTTATCTACTTAGATTAAGAAACGATGCCCTAATTCGAAGTGGGAGTATGTGGCTGTAATATTCATAAGTATTTCCGTAAATACATCGCGACGTGTCGTAACTCGCTCAATTATTTCGCCGGGAAATTTACAACTCCCGAAGTTTTCTCCGACGCGGAAACGTCGGAGCGAGTTCTCCCGCGCATTAATATTCGCGTGTATTACGAAAAAGGGCGTACCCGCCGAATTTCTTCGGCATCGCTCCTCCGGGAATCGGTAACGAACGGTATTTAGCATTTTTCTCCGGCGATATCGCCTGAATAACGGTTTACGTGTAGTGGTTTCTTTGTGCACCCGATGATCTCGGCAATAAATTCGACGTGTTACGAAGGGGAAAGAGTACGTGCCAGCTTTGCTAAATGTCCGGTGTACTCACACACCCGTCCACACCCGTCCATACACTAACACACCCACTGCAGGTTACCGTCGAATGAGTCTCTGGATGCAGAAACGACTCTACGCTCGGTCTTGTTTTAAATGGCGACGGGATTGACCCGGTCGACCTTTTAAAGTATTCTCTGATAAACTACGTCCGAACAAAAGGCCGACCGAGGAACCGCGTCTTACGGTGCTGATTCGATTGCGCGCACGGAGAGACGTCTGCGAAATTTCTTACCTCTACTACTGCGTTTGCCCGACTTGCCTTACGACCGTTCTCTCTCTCTCTCTCTCTCTCTCTCTCTCTCCCCTTTCGCTGTATACTCTCAGCTTCAGCAGCCGCGATGCCCATTGTTCTTCTCACGCTTGTTCGCTCGTTAGACACTCTCCCGGCCGATTTACGTGCAGCTCGACGTGCGTATTTCACGCGGAATTTGCGAATTGACCGGAATGATCCGGTTCCACCACGCGCGCGGATAACATTTGCGGGAGCGCAATGTCGACGACTATCTCTTTGCGAATTTACACTAAATCCTTGATTGCACGATCCGCTAATTATTTCGCCATGACGCATAAATATCATAGTTATTTCCTGATGCTCTTACACCCTCCGACGACAACCCTGATTAATCGGAGCGCGAATAGCGCGCATTTTTCTAATTTTTCTCTTCTCTCTTTTTGGTCACCTTTTTCTCCTGCCGTTCTGTTTTCTTTTTATAACTTCCGTTTTTATGCACTGCCGTTCTTAATAAAATCCTGCAGAGTTCCAAATTATTTGCGCTCTCGCGATCGATTCGCCGCGATCCATGCCCGAGATATCGAAACACACAGTCGAAAATACCGTCCCCTGTGTCTCCCTCGGTTTCCCTGACGCACGTAACACCAACTTCGGCCAAAATTGGCGAACTGTACTTGCAAACTAAGAACCATTAATACCTAGGATCATGTTCTTAGCACAGAGACTTACGGTCCTACAGTGGATTACCCATAATACGATTCGCCGATAAATTGATCCAACCAACTTTCGCGACTGGAAAAGAACGCGGCTCCGAATTAAAAGTTTGGTAAAAATAAAAAATCAGGAGGGAGAACCAAGCCAAAATTTCACGCCTCTCGAAAAGGGCACTCGTTACTCGTGCAGGTACACGTGTACCTCGTCCATTATTTGTTAATGATCTTTCTGGCGATTTGCGATGCGTTGTAAGTGGGTCACGCGATATAAGCCACGTACGCTATCTAATTGTACGCGATTGATAATCCGCAGCTCATCTACGCCGAGAAATCACGCGGATTACGCGAGTTACATAAACTCGAGTAAATAATTATCGACATGGCGGCCGCTGCCACGACATTATATTCCAAATAATTGAAGAATTGTTATTCTTTCCGACGCGTTTACAGCTACAGAATTGCAAGGAGTGTGTCTTCGTCGTATTTTCGCCAACTCGCGGATCGATTGTTCCACAGCGCGCGCGGTATATTTCACAATTCTGGCGCGCCAGAAATCTCCGGCGGCTTTCATAAGACAGAAGTTTCCCTTACCGCGCGGCCGCGTGCGCAGAAAGCCGAGATTGAATTATTTTTCTTTTCTTGTTGCGCGCGCGGCAGGATTGCGCTCGTCAAAAAGCAAACAATTACGACGATTGAATGGGATTTGCGCGGCAACATTCTCAGCGGACTGCTTCTAGCGCGTTTACGTTGTCAATAGCCGAATTACTCACACAATACACACATCATGTATTCTCTTTTCTCTGCCAGTATATATTTGAAATTACACTAAGCAGAATATCCGATAATTCGTTATACAGCCGCGGTGTACAAGCAGAACAGGTCAAAATAATCAAGTGAACTATATGCCATTTGGTAATTTTCGTAATATTTACTATGTAAATAACTAAACCATATAGACCAATGAGCGCACGGGACAGCTCTTGCAGACATGTTTACACGGAAAAAAAGATTTGCTAATATATGGACAACTAAAAATATTAACTGCAGAACTGGATTGTACTTTAGAAAGTACTACTTTGTAATGTTCACAATACTTTGTAATTAATTTACTAAGAGACTGTAAGAATTAAGGCATTTTTATCACATACTGCAAGTCATCTGTCGTTACACGGAAAAAAAGATTTGCTAATATACGAACAACTAAAAATATTAACTGCAGGAGCAAATTTTCTTGTTTTCATAACAAAGTTATTTAGTTGTGATAGCTAAAATATTTGCTAATATATATATTATCAAAGTATTGTGAACATTACAAAGTAGTACTTTCTAAAGTACAATCCTGTACTCTTCACTGAAATGCTATATTTCAAACTGGTGATTTATAAG